TATGATAATCTGCAGAGTGTAAAAGGAAAAGGATAAAATATTGTTTGCAACATATTTAGGTGGGAGTCACTGTAATACAACATATACATAGCTACAAAAAGAACCTAACCAAGAGTAACAAATCAACTTGGGATGCCAGGTGTTTAGGGTGGCATGGAAGCCTTCTAGGCAACTTGTCTGGGCATCTGGTGAGAGTTTTTTTATGTCATTCAGAAGGATCTTTGTCAACAGCAATTTCAATTTGTCATATGCTGCCGTGCCTACCAAAGTATTATTGAACAATTTTAAAATGACACACTACATTGTACATTGTTGAGATTAGAGGATGTAATGTGAACATGTTGATGATTCACTAAGGTATAGGTTTTAGCAGTTCAGTTTGCTTTCAGCACGGCAAAACCGCAATTAGACACGGACATTTTACACATAAATGCTTCCAAAAGAATAGGTTATTTACATCAGAAAAACTTACACATGTTAATGTTTATGATCGGAGATCACGAGAAAACGCTTACCTGTCGCCTTTTGCGATCTGTCAGAACTTCAGGACCTTCTGGTAGAACTGCATGTCTTGTTGGAACAGAGCCCTTGATAAGAACTTTGTTCCGTTTTATCTGCGTCATACCGTCCAGCGAAAATGCCAAGCTGCCCTCGTAACAACTTTGCTCAAAGTGAGCCGAACACAACGAGGCATGTTTGGCAACAGGTTCGCCGAAATCAACTCGGTGCCGCTGCACGAATTTCACCCATTGGGCTCTCACTGTTGGATTTACAGGAAACTGGTGCATCGAAATACCCGGTGTGTAGCTGGTATTCGTACAGCTTCTATTGTTGGGCGCCCCAGCCACACAATAACGTCCACCTTTCCGTACTGGCCTCTTCTTTTCCGCCATAGACCACTTTCATAAATGGCTGCCGGATTAATATTAAATTTGCCCGAGTGGCCTCGCTTGAGATAATGTATTCTTTTGAATTTTGTACTGGAGAACGAGGCCACCCTGGCAAATTTATATGTAAACAAAAGAATTTTAATCCGGCAGCCATTTATGAAAGTGGTCTAATGAGAGTCAAACAACCTGACGTCACAGGTTAAGTTCACGTGACCTTTTGGCCGCGCGTTCGAGGGGACAAATTTTAAGCCAACTTAGCGCGTAGTTTAACGAAAACTATGTGTTTATAATTATTTTCAACGATTTTTAACTCTCGAACCGTTTGTTCTATATATCGAACTAGCAGAAAAGAAAAAAAAAAATTTCATGTCATATACACTTTAAAAGAAATCATACACTAACCTTGTCAGAAGTTATCTTTTTTTAAAATCTTTGCTTGAATTGCCTGATCTCCAGAAGCTTTTTTTATTCCATGCTTGACGCTTTCTGCTAGAGAAGAAACCAGAAAGAGCTTATGACCATGCGTATAATTGCCTTTACGAATACACTGTTTATTGTGAACGATAAAGTTCAACTTTTGCATTAACAAAGAAAGAATTCTAAACTAGAGCCATCATAATTTTTATTTCATAACAACAATAACATCACTCCTATAACTCGTAAAAAGTTTAACTAGTCTTTGTATACAATGCATTCTCCAAATATACCTATCAAAATGAGACGGAAGCTATCACTTTATCACTATATGACAACAATAAAGTGCAAATTTCTCAATGTGGCCCGCATGATCACGTGGCTCAAGGAGAAGTGTCATGGGGGCCGCTAAAAAGAAATTGCCATAATTTGCATCATGTTCGTATGGCAAGCTAATCCTTTTTACATCCAACTATCCAATTTGAACTGATTTTTAAGGGCGACGATGGGACACATTGACACTGTACTTCTATCGAAAATGTAGTTATAAGTTGGTTATTTACCTCGAGAAGAATCGTAACAAAATGACTTCCATAAATCCTCAACGTCAAATTTGAACCACCCAGGTCAGCAAAGTCAAGGAATACATGCCAAACTTGACGGAGCGGACCATATCTAAGGTTACAACGTCAAAATAATGTGTTTCCTGGCTCCAGAAAAGCTGAAAAAGACGCTGAAATTTCTCGTAGTTCTTGCCTGTTTCCACGTCCAAGACTGCTCGTAAATATGAATATTAATCTTTGAAAATCATTTGTAATTCAAATGAGTTTTCCGACTTTGTAAAGAGGTGCGAAAAGCATTGAATGGCTCTTAAGGACACTTTCGTTCACTTTGAAAAACGACAGAGGTTTTTTGGTTGAAGACTCATTCTGAACATAGTCGGGAAATCTCTTTAGAGAGATGCATATATTGTGTAAATTGAAGAAACCTTAACTCGAACTCAGGTAAAATCGAACCTTGAACAGAAACTTATTCGGATTGCTCGATTTATCCTGTTACTTCTATCCATGGTCCCCTCTACTAACCATGTTCTATCGAACAAATAATCATTTATATTTTGTTTTGTTTAATTGAAGAAAAACCTACTGTTGTGACGGATGTTCTTTCCTTGTCCTGATTATATAAGAAAGAAACTTTAAATCGTTTGTCTCAAGATGTAAAGCCACTAGTAATCGTACTGAGATCGCGTCATTTAGTCCGCTATATCGCTAGCCTACGTAAGTTGATGTATTTACCTCAATGTTTACCCATCGATGTACATCTACGCAGCATGATGACGTTAGATGCTATTGTTGTGTTTGGTACAGTATCCTTGCTGAATTTTCACCCCAACAACTTGATGCAGATCCCTTTAAAACTTTATTTTTGCAAAAGAATTTCAAAAGGGCAGGCATGTTTGAAAGGTTTTGAGCAGACTTAATTTCCGCATTTTGTCGAGCAATAGCAGAGCTGATTGTCTGTAATTATGTTCATGTAAACTATCGTGAATGCTCTCTCAATGATAAGTTTCCCAACGATGTTATCACTAGGACCCAAGATATTATAATCACATCTTTGCGTCGTGAGCACAACACAAACGTCAACTCTACGGCTTATTCTGTAGTCCCTACTTCTTGTGCGCCTCACTCTCAAAGTTGAGCGCGTCGCGCTAACATCAATCTCTTGTTTTTCAATGACTCCCATGACTCCCATGACTCCCATGACAAATACTTTTTGTATTTGACTACCATGACGGACTTCGCCGAAAAGTAGTGACTGCTTAGTCTACTAAACTTCAGGGAACATAATGACGAGCTACACCATAACGAAGTCTGATTCAAAGAAAAGGCCTTTTATGTGCTGCTGGGACATTCAACGTTGAATACGCGGGGAAAAAAAGGTTGCCGTAGTTAAAAGGAGCAAATTACATTGCTCATTACAAGGAAAAAAAACTTCGAGCTTTCTAAAGTAGTCTTCACGCCATTTTTATTCTCAAAAGAATCATTTTGACGTACAAAAGATAATACATCGCAAAATTCTAACTATCATATGCATAACAGAGACTACATGGCAAATAAGCTTAAGTAACATGCGAAAAACAGAGAAAAAGCAGACTCCAGGATGACTTTCACGTGCGTTTAAGTCTCGCTCGCTCGCTGATGACTTTCACGCGCGTTTAAGTCTCGCTCGCTCGCTGATTTTCCCGTGTAAAACATTCAGCCAATAATTTAATGTATTACTCGGTGCTATTTTGTTTCTGTGGAACAGTTTTGAGTATTTATAAGCCAAACAAATACCACTTCAATGTAAGACTAACAGGTTGATAATTTAAGCTTAGCACTGGCAAATCTAGCCAGGAAAATTAATTCTCGTGAAACCTTTTTGGTGAAACGAACTTAGGTTCTCCATTATCGTAGACAACATGTAGCCACCTTAGGCTGCTCGTGACACAGTGTGCTCGTTACACACAGTGCTCGTTACACAGTTACACACGACTGCTATAAAAATAATGGCTTGCGATGTACAGAAATTTGTAAAATAAGTGTACAGCTCTGAAAAAAAATTAAACTGCGATGAAAACAAACATCTGTTGTAGTCCAGCTACTGAGAAACGAACATCACAAATCTCAAAGTTTATAAGCAATGCATACTGACGTATAACAAACTGCGCAAATAACGAACAACGCCTACGGCTACATTTGGGTAACGATTATTGGACATCGTAAATGCTCCAAATAGCTCCCTTTCCTGTTACGCCCTCCCCTCCCCTCCCCTGTTAGAATATTTAAGCTTCATCTTCTCGCTTTCTTCCACCTTGTTAAATTCTCTAGTATAGCAGTGCGTTTTTCTTTCATTTTAGTTAAGTGAAAACATAATTGTATTTGAAAGCCTGGCGTAGTTTCCGTTAATAACGTAGATTTTTAATCAAACAAAATCCATCCTATGTTTCATCTTCTTTAAATATGGACCAAAAATCAGAACAAAAAATGACTCCCCTCCCCCACCCCCCTACCCCGAGGGGGGTTAGGAGAGCTTTTAAGGCAAGTCACAACCGTCTTAACAACTTTGAATAAAAATAAAAATTCATAAACAAACGGAGCATTAAAGCGAGTTCACTAAACAAGGTTTGCACGAGCGAGAACTGGATATTTCATTACAGACCTCCCAAGTAGGGTGGTTGAGGTCCTTTTGACTGCATGGGAGCGAGGCCACGCTTATTGAAATACTCCTGCACTTGTTTGGGGATTTCTGCTAACACGTGTTTGGCCAGGACTGCCGGAGATTGCTGTGGAACAGGAGCAGATATTTCATAAGCCATTCTGGAAAATAACTGTCCGCAAATATGCATTGTAGTTTAAAGCAATAGGCCATTTTACAGTTGTGTACTTAGTTGCCAAGCCTTTGATTCAGACTGAGGCTGAAGGTGACCTTGATGTGATAGAGACCTGTATCTACTTAGCATGATAACAAAGTGATTTACATTTGAAAGGCAGCAAGGCTTGTATCATAACAAGGGCAACCCTAGCCTCACTCCCATTCAAAGGCTTGGCAACCAAGTACACAACTGTAAAATGGACTATTCTAGAGTTCAGTTTGAATGGCTAAGATGCCGTGGTATAGAAGCCATTGTGCCATGGCTTTGGACGACGTGTTGCGGCGAGCTGGACTCCCAATTGAAAAGTCCTAACTCACATAATGATAGTTAAGTCGCAATTAAAACAGAATATTACAAAACAAGAAAGCCACTCACCGATTTGAATTCCCTGAAAGGCACAAACTGAACGATGTCTCTTTCTGCGTAATGACGCCCAGATCGTAACCTGTTTAACGAAGAGAAAGTTGCGAGAATCTTGTCAGACAATAAAAAACCGCAACAAACCTAAAACAAGGGTGGACCATGACACAGACCTTAACGAAAGTTTTGCATTTGATTGGTTGAGGAGATGGGTCAAGTGAAGAAAAAAACAAGTACAAAGCAGGATTACTTAATAGTCCATTTTACGGTTGCATGCTTCGTTGCCAAGCCTTTGAACAGGAGTGATGCTAAGGGTGAGCTTGATTTGATAACACGTTGCTGCTTTTCATGCTAACTAGAAACTGGTCTCTATCACAACAAAGGTCACCTCAGCCTCACTCTAAATCAAAGGCTTGACAACTACGTACACAACTGTAAAATGGCCTAATAACAGTCAGTTGTTGGTCTTACCTTCCTTCATCAGCGTCAAGTTCATCCATGTCCTTGAAGTCCGCCTGTCCAACTCCAACAATAATCACCGACATGGGGAGGCGAGAAGCCTTCACAATGGCGGCCTTGGTGTCCTCCATGTCTGATAACACGCCATCCGTCAAAAGAAGCAGCACATAGTATTGCTGTTGAGATCGAAATAGAAATTCTCAATACTTTTTCTCATACAGGTCTCTTACTGCATGTTTTAAAGCTCTTTTGTTGTACACGGTTTTAACTGTGTCTTCATAGAAGCTGCTTCAACCGATGTTTGTCAACTTCAAATGTAGCACATTGAAATACAAGTGAGCGATTACTTGAATCCTTTGGATAATCAAGATTTTCTGTTTCTTATTTTCACCACCTTTACTTGGTTTAACAAAACAAGTTTTGCTGGTGTGAACGGTGTAGAAGACACTGGAACTGGGAAGATGCAATTTCTAAAGATTGGTTCTAACTTGCACCCTATGAAAATCCTACTGTCTGAAAAAAAAGCTGGTAGAGCTTTTTTTTGCTGCTGTTGTTGTATATTTTCCTTTCTTTAAGAAATAGCAACACTTCTGGTCATGGTGCACGCACAGAACAAGACAAAATACAACAAAACAAGACAACAACACCTGGCAGCGACCAGAGGGCAGTTACCACTAAACTTGGCGTTAAACAGTCATTAATATACTTCTTAGCACCGACTAAATATCGATCATGACCGATATGATATTGATTACCTACCGATGCTGTGTTTTCCTGGCCTGCTTGCTCGGCAAATCTAATCACGTGATTGATGATCGGGGCGACATTAGTTGGTCCATATAGCTGCACTTGGCGAATGCAATTCTGATATGCAAGAACAATTTCTTGGATACCTGCAACAAGAAAAATAATTGACATAAAACACTTCAATACATATAACTTACAACCTAAATATTGCCGAGAGATTTTTACCTTTCGCGTTAAATCCGTTCTGTACATGAAGTTGTTTAAACACTTCTGTTCGGTAAATGTCGTTCATCTTCATGCACAAGACAGTTTAGTCAGCACCAAAATACCTGAAGTTGTATCAGGCCATAGAAAAAACAGAATGGAGGCTAAAAATTACAGCCAATCAGAATGGAGGCTAGAGAATACAGCCAATCAGAATGGAGGCTAGAGAATACAGCCAATCAGAATGGAGGCTTGAGAATACAGCCAATCAGAATAACGGCTAAGATTCTATTCCCGCCGAACTTTGGTAGGGCCGACATTTCCGGTCTCTTTTCAAGAGTTTTACGCTAACATTTCTATCTAAAATGCATTTTATTCTGTGCCTGGAGTTTTAGATTGTGAACGCTTTAACCATTTACACCCTAACATCAGTATGTACATGCAAACGTTCTTACCATGACAATATGGATTTGTTGGATTAAAGTTCAAAGGAAACTCATGGGAAACCTGGAAACCAAGAACAACAGCATAAACAAACACAAAAACAAGCACAAACAAATTTTAATAATAAACGATAAAATATATGTGAAAGTGAGTGTGATCGTCCGGGTGAGTGTAGTCCCGTGAAGGACTGTTGTCGGTGGTAGTGACTGACGTTTCGACAACCTGTGCGGAAGTCACTTGACTCTGATGATCACTTCCGCACAGGTTGTCGAAACGTCAGTCACTTCCACCGACAACAGTCCTTCTCAGGACTACACTCACCCGAACGATCACACTACGCTTTCAGATGTTACCCCCTGGTTCAAACCATTTACTGCAATATATCACCAAAAAATAAATCAAAGAAACTAACTCGATATTGATTTTCTTTTTTTCGATACTCACTCCTAACTGACATTACAATTTACAAAGAAGAGGATATAACAAAAGAAGAAAGGAAACAAAGCGGACATGTCGCTGACATACCTGCATGCCCGGGGGTATTTTGGCACCAAATCCTAGCGCTGGGAAAAATTTATCACTGGGAGAAGAAACACAGTGTCAATGACAAAAAGGTTAAAAAAGGAAAGTACAGGGGTATAAAAGAACGGAGGAACGGAAAAACGGTGGAACAAAAGAACGGAAGAACGGATGAACGCCGGGAGGGACGAAAGAACGGAAGAACGGGACAGAGAATAGAGAACGGAGAAACGAAGAAACGGTAGAACAAAAGAACGGAAGAACGGAGGAACAAAGGGACGAAAGAACGGGACAGAAAATAGAGAACGGAGGAATGGAGAAACGGTGGAACAAAAGAACGGAGGAATGAAGGGACGAAAGAACGGGACAGAGAATAGAGAAACGGAGGAACGGTGGAACGTAGAACTGAGGGAAAGGGAAATGCAGATGCAGAAAAATGATGGAATAGAAGAATAGCGGGATAGGGGAAACAGTATCATAAAGTCATTCTTACGTATCATAGTCTTGACAAACTTCACCAACAGCTATCAGAGCCTTGACGTACTCATTGGGCTCATGAGGGTTCAAATAATGAAGAGACTGGGCCAGGCGTGGATCACCATTGGATGCTGTAAAGTCAATACCAACCTAAATGGTGTCACAAAAAAAAATGGCCCTCAGAAATGTCTCCGTAAATTGTGCTGTACTGACTTGAACCTGTGCATGCTACCATTTGAACATTGGAAAAAGTAGAAAAAGCTGATTGGCTAATACTGGAAAAGGCATTTTCCAAAACAACAATGATATTGCTTGTTTTTATACTGAGTACGATACAAGAAATGCAAATCATTATCAGTCAGGCTCGTTTTAAACTCGCAATTCCACGCTTTATACCCCGCATCATTAACCAATCACAAGATTGTATTCAATAATGCAATTCTGTCTAAAATGGTACAAGTGTGGGAAATTCGAGACAAGTTATATACAAAAAAGTTTTTGACAGACAACTGTGTCACTTACAGTAAAGTTAATTTGACATCCTCCCATGACAAAGTCCAAGAATGTGTGAATTTTGGTTATCTGAAAAAAATACCAAAAAAGTTATTCAGCACTTGTAAATAATGCTTTTTAAATTTATTTGAAGTTACATACAAAGGAAAGGTAAAACATGAACATGTAGACTACGTACATTGCATTGAGCCACGTACAGTACTCCAGAGTTCACATAGCCTTTCTTCTTCTGTTTCTTCTTGGCATTGACCAAGTCAAGTCCTTTCTGCAATATAAATTATATACAAACACAATTTAGCAGAGATCACTTCAAACAGACATTTCACCAGTCATAAAGATTTTGTCCGAACTATGCTGATTTTTTAAATGCATTTTTCTGATAACTATTTTAGTCCCTGAATAATGACTAACCTGTAAAAGGTGCAAGAAAGGATTGTAATTATACCTGTCCAATATTTTAGAACAAGAAAGACCTGATACCTATGGCAGCACTCTCTAACTCATAATTTTGCCATGCATCTGTCCAATAATAGGTTCCAGACGATGTCAAAATGTGGTAAAAACAAAACAGTGGCACACAAGGCCCAACCGAGTGTGTTATTGATGACATCTGCAATCTATTACTGTGCAAACCCATGGCAACATGGAAACTACTTCTGTTGATTAATAAGGTCATGAATATTGCTTGCAATGACGTCATCTATGCAGCAGTCTGCCCTCTGATAGATCGTAAGTAAGAACCGATTAAAATGTGTGCTTCAGTATATTGTGTAATTTCTGCTTTATGCTGTGCAAGATGCCAATATACACCTTTAAACTTAACCATGCACATTCACCTTACCCCAGATTGTTTCATCTCTAACAATTGCCCCATAGTAGCATTGGTTGAGCCAATAAAATCATGGCTTCCATCATCATCGTAGTCATAGCAATCAATCTATTGCAGCCAAACAAACAAAACAACAATAAATACATAAACATCAGTATAGAATGTGTACATACCCCTGACTCTTTACTGTCAATCAGAGATCGAAGAGTGATGTCCACACAACCAATCAAATCATTAGTGTCATCTTCATCCCAGTCATAACAGCCAATCTGGCAACATTATAAATCAGACTTTGTTAACTTGATTGAAGAGTTTGTTGTACAATTGTGTTCTTCAAGGGTCAGTTTTCACAGGCTTATGCGCTTACATGCATTCAAATCATTTTTCCGTGAAAGCCAAAATGGGATTAACAGTATTGTACTGATTTGCTTTACATGCTCTTTAAGGTGGCAAATCTACATTTATTTGTATTAACTCAGCTGATAAAACCTTAGAGGGATAAGGATCTGTGGCGCTGTATTGGAATGGGTATTAAAGGTAATTTGGTTTTATCAACTGAGTTAAAAATGTAAGTTGGCTTTCATGAAGAGTTTCTAGTGTCAGCAAGTTTCAAATTAGAGGGCAAAAAAACGTTTTCTTGTCCTTCTAAAATTGGCATAAAAACTGTTTCCATTAATTCTTGTGGAACTGAAAATCCTCCCTGAATTAGTACTTAACTGATATAGATTTTTGTCAACTCGTGAAATTAAAACCATGATAAATTTATCATTTTTATTAAATTAAACTCACCCTAATAGGTGCATCATAGTCTCCTCCACACAGAGTTGAAAGTGAGATGTCAAATGACTTCCATGAAGGATTGAGGTTGTTCTTGATAACCTGTTGTATCACCGTAAAAAGAAAAAAAAATTGTTGATAATTTCTTACTTTATGATCAACAGGTACTAATGTTGATGTCACCATTAACAAAATTTTGCTTTGTTGTTATGTTATAAAACCAACAGATTCTATGTTGCAAGTGTTAGAGTAGATTGCAGAAGACATCAATGTGTTCTGTTCTTACCACATTTTGTCATCATGTGCAATGTATTACTTAACAGATGTAAAGCAGCATGGAAACTATTTTATTAAACTGACACATTTCCAGAAGTCATGTACCACATTGGTTACAGGAAATCTAGTAAGCATTAAGTTCCATGAAACCAACCAATTAAGCAACTTAATTCCCTGATTAAACAGTATGACCAAAATTTAAATTGGTATAAACAATTAAAAAATGATTGAATAAATAATCTTCAAAGTGAAGTGGATATTGTAAACTGGTTAATATGCAGTTTCAAGTCAATCATAATGACCTTAAGAACTTGAAAGTAAGACAAGCATCTTTACATAATTTCAATAATAATAATTGAACAAAAATTAACTGCTTCAAAAAACAATGGAAAAGGTGAACTTTCATATCAACATATGCAAGTCTGATAAATACATGTACTAGCTATTTGAATCAATAAAAGTGTCTGTGAATGGATGGCTCAACAGCCACCATTCACATGACTTTTCCTCTATACCATAACAAACAAAATGAATAGGAAAATATTAAGCAATTTTTTTTTGTTCCAATCGTAAACATCCTCACCTCAGTGCGATGAACAAGCAAAGTTTCACCATCACTTTTCAGTTTGGACAATTGTAAAAAGGGATCAGACTTGCCCAAAAAGTCCTGTAATAAAAATAAGATTTACACACTCATTTAGTAAGTAAATACAGTATTTATAGAACCAGAAAGATAGTACATTTTGGGCTCTAATTAAAAACTAGTCAGATTCAAAAAGTAAAGAGAATAGAAAGAAAAAGAAATCCCCAGTAATGAACCATAATCATGAAATGTATCACCATAGAGCTAATCAGTGTGACTGTATGGCACTGTCCATGTATGTATCATGAAAGCATAGCTGCACCTTTTTGTCTAGGTTTGTTGCCCTGAATGTAAGTTGAACTACTTCATTTCCACCTTTTAATTCTTCTGCATACACCTGCAAAAAGTAAATAGCAACTGAAATCTGATCTTAACACAAAAGTTTATATTATCATGATATTAACTGTGATTTCCTTCTGTCTAATGATACCCTATTAGGTCCTCAAGGGGAGAGGGTTATTCACTATTGATATCCTGGGAAATATTATGCCTCAAGGGGCTCATACCCACAAGGGTGCAGGGCTGTCACACAAGTGACTTATTAAATTTCCAAATAATTACGACCCAGCGACTATTCCAATTACAGAGTTTGGTTTTTCTAAGGAATTCCTTCAGACAGGTGAGCTCTTTACAAAGAGGTTTCATAAAGAAGTGTGTAACAGAGTGGGGGCTTAACAGACAGAAGGTAGTTAAAATAGAGAGAGGGGCTAATAAACAGGATAGGGGGTCCTGATGAGGGATGGTCTTTTATAGAAACTTGGAGATTTAGCCAGGGGACCTTATAGAGGAAGGGCTCATTTGAGAAGACAAAAATTCCTTAAAAAAATTCTTTGCCAGGCTGGTACTCAATATACAATCAATACAGTGTACTTACTGTAATGGCTCCTACTTTTCTTCCCTTGATTTGTAATGCACTGGCAAAGGATTTCTTTGAAACCACCTTGAATATTTCACAAATAAATAAATATATAAAATTTTAATACAGTTAAAGAGAAAGCTGAATCATGCATTCAGTAAGTATAATATGTGGCCCTCTGTTCAAGGTTGGATCCATAGTTCACACATTGGAAAACTTCAGACCATTGAGGATTCCCAGGGATCCTCTTTAATTCCAGATTTTACTGATACAGTGGATCTACATGTATCAGGAAATTTGAAAGCATCAGCAACTCTGTCAAAGTTGATCAGAGACTAGACTGAAACTGGGAAATTTCAGGATTGCTAATGATTGTCATGATTACAAAACTACCTGTTGCGAACACGATTTTTCTTTATTCTCAACTCAACACAACGATTTACACGGAGGAAAAAATCCTCCTTCTTTTCGCACATGGTCTGAAAGGAGCGGTCGCTAATTCTCGTGGAGTGGTCGCTCGGCCCTCCTCGACACTACCGATCTTTCGCTGATAGTTCAACCCCATCTACAACACTTGTACCTAAATTGTCATAACTTTTTAATAGTTAATTTCACCAGCTGTGCAAAAAATATGGGATGCATCAGGCCAATAGAAATCCTCGGGATTTGTCTTTCACCAACTCAAATGATGGGCATTGTCCAATAATTATTATATTTTAATAATTATTATATTTTAAGTTTTCCTTAGTCTGCAAAATCTGACAGTCATTCAAGGTTCTATTGTGTGATAAGCAAATTATTACCCAGTACATCATTTAATTTGCAGACTTGCTTACGATCTATTGGAGGAGAGAGGCATGGATGCTGTCACCATTGACAAAATATTTTTTTTATATCATATAAACCAATTGGAATCCATGTTGCTGTGAGTGTGGACAGCATCAGGTCACAGAAGTCGTGAAAATGTGGTAAGAGCATAACTAACACACTCAGCTGACTCCACATGCAACTATTGTTTTCCCAGGTTTTGGCATCTTCTGTGATATCAAGAACTGAACAGGAACACAGTAATATGGACCCTATTTGTACATTAAAGAGCAAACTCTGATTCAGTTTAAAAGGGTAAAAACCCTGATTATCTGAAATTCTTCAAGACACTAATTTTGACAACCAGCCTTTAGTGAATTTTACAACAATGCAGATAATTTACCTGCCCAAGATTACACTCCATGTCGCCCAAAAAATCATCATCCCCCAGTGAACTGGTCGCGTTATCCACATCGTACACTGCAAACTTCAGTTTCTGTACCATCTCGAAATAGTAGTCCAGCACAATTCCTTGCGCAAAATCTGGGTTCAGGTTATTCTGGACTTTTTCAGTCCTAGCATGCTGAAATGGAAAAAATAATTAAAAACAAGATCAAAAAATAATAAAGATGTTTAATGACAATTGAAGTAAGGTTTGTCTCTGGAAAATTAGATACATAAGTCTAATTGTTACAAAAAAAATGGAAAGGTACATGGACATTTTAATTTTAAAGTAAAAATATACTTAGCCACTTCAGCTAGTTTAAAAACACTTCACTTAAAAATTCCTCTGGCAAATAATCTACATCAGACTGAGTCCCTTACACCTTCACATCAGTATGCAAGTTCTCTATACTGGTCTCTAGACATTTCCCATGATTCTTGCAAGGAGAATTTGTCTAACAATCAAGAGCTTCTTGGGTTTATTATCATTTCCTTTCTTCTCATGACTTTTATATTTAATCCAGGAGTTACCTGGTACATATTGTAAGGAGAAATCAGATGTTAGTCACTTTTGGGGTCAATACAGCAAATGTCAGCGACAACCACTGCTTTGAAATTTAACAGGTGCCACCAAAAAAAAAGAATTGAAAAGGAGAGAGAAAGAGCGAAAAAAAAAAAAAAAAAAAGGAAAATCTAGATGAAATTGGTCAGTTAGACTATTTGTGTCTCAAAAAATTCACATTGTACAACAAACAAAGTATTGTTGTTATTTTCAGACTGAAAATAGTCCAGAAATAGCCTTTCTTCTCACTTATATATATTTATCTTCCCAGCCAGAGTTTCTCAACCTCATTCCTTATCCCATCTACTGAGCCCCCACAAAGGAAATGAAAATATTTGCTGGTTATGAAGATCACACTGTCATTATTTGTTGCTTAGCCACAAAACTTTGACATGGGCATTTTTAAAATGAAATTTTCCTTAATTAGCAAGTATTATTAATTCCTACACTTTGTATCAAATTTACAGGAAAAAGCAATACGTGTGTTTAAGATTAGGTCAGGCAATTAGCTATCTGAATTTACAAATTTTAAAATGAATTACATCAAACTACAGTTATTAAAACAGTTGTAGTAATTTCCATCGTCAATAAAATTAAGTTCCAGAAATACATAATTTTTTCACATCAATTTTTAAGAAACAACTTCAGAATGAAGTCTTCTCCTTTGTACTGACGCGTATAACTATCGTGATTTAATTTTTTTTAGCTTTAAAACCATCTGAAAGATCTTGAGAGAAATTGAAGGACTTTAAACTATCTTAATCATATTTTAACAGTTGAAGGGTTATACATGTCATACACTCACGATCGAGTCTTCGAATCCAAGATCTAGCAAGCGGGCGAAAAACTTACCTCAACCCACTTTCCATGTGAATCTTGAATATACATAGCACATAATGGGTCGGATTTTGAAGTTGTGTCCTTGTCAAGTAAACCTCTACAAGAGATGTGCAACTCGACTCGAGTAACACACTCTGCTGCCATTTCAAGTTGTTTTGATCGAGTATAATAAACAAACGAAGCCAACAAATTAACCGCTTATCACAGAGGTTTCTAGGATGGCTCGACGTAAGATGCTTGGAAAATGAAAGTTATAAGGCGTGACAATCTCCAATAAATAAAATAAAATCAGAACATAATCGATCACAATTGCGATGATGTTTCTAAAGTCACTCAAGCACTCAGAGAAAAATGCCAACCACTCCCCCAGGAAACAATATTGCATGGAAACTGGGCTCTAGTTAGGCGAATAGCTTTCTGGGATAAGTTAGCCAGCCTCGTCCCAAATTAGGTAAGGCATTTTTGTTCACTGATAATGATGGGAAAATGGAAAACAGCCTGACTGTATAGTAAATGAAGTGCTTTTAAATCATAATAGACTGAGATCAAGATATTTTTAGCCTGAAAATCGTGTCCTCTTGTTTCTCCGTATGGCTGGAATCTCGGCAATCTCGGAGTGAGGGGAGGGGAATGGCGGGAATCCCATTTCTAACCCGACGGGAATCGTAACGCACCAAAGGAAAAACACCTCAAAACAATGGGTCTCCCCCCCCCTTCCCCCACCAGGAATATACATGGGTACTGATGATCTGTAAATATGACAGATTCGCTGGAAATCCGAAGAAATTAAAATCGGGCAGAACTGCCCGAAACTGCGTCCAAGCATCCGTAATTAAATAGACGGAAATTCTGAAATATGACAGCCGACATCTTCGATACCAGCTGTGGCAGTTTTATTTACATAAATATATACTCGGATCTTTCTTTATTTTAAGGCCTCACAAGCTCAAGTCTGCAAAGCTGTATTCATGACGAGGTCCAAGTATTAAAAAGTCACTTTGCAAGTCTATAGTTCAGCGTAATCAATTCCCATTAGACTGTTCAGAGAATAAACTAAAATGTAACAATACGGCCTTGCATACATGCCTCTGTTTTACCCATATGCGTTAATCTGCCACAACGAATACTTTTATCAAAGCCATATTAATATCTCGTTGAAATTAAAACTTAACCTTTAACAAGACGAGGGGGTTGCTGTAGCGCTTGTGACTCACAAACTGTCAGGGAAGCCTGAAGCTCGATGATGAACTGCAGGGGTAGAACCTTGTAATAAGCTAGCATCTATACTCTCCCGTCTCCCGTGGGGGAAGGGGGGGGGGATATGCTCATGCAGAATGAGCCCACAGGCTCCAGTACTTTATCTTCTTACCTTTTCTAGAATACTTGATGTGTTTCAATAATTCTTTTGGTTTATTTTTTATTTGTTTTGTTTTCTTCAATCCAGTAGATTTTGAAATCCCTTTTGTAAGTCTTTTTATTTATTTATGTTTTTTTTTAATTACGTGGGCGTCGACATAACGAGCTGATGAGTACAATCTGTTTGATACAGTGTGATCCCCCTTTGAAAATTCCCGGCTACACCTCAGCTGGTTCTATGATGTAAATCTTAGTAATACTTTCCCTTACTATCATGTGACCTAATGTGACAGACTGGGTTAGCTGGCGTGACAAACTTCCCCAAAATTCCGTGACTGGGTGCAATAAACGTCTTGACGTGATCAACCTTCTTAAGATTGCGTGACAAAGTAAAAGAAATTACCCAGCATTTGAGAGACTTTACTGTGTATACAGCTTTTATCTGTACAATAAACTGTACAATATGAAACACTGTGATCTGATTTTTAAATCTAATTTAAAAACGAAACTCTAAAAAATCAAAAATCTGAATACAACATCTATACAATACCCTAACGTCCTCATAATAATTTTAGGTTAATACGACATTCTATGTCATAATCAATCTATCCACAAACATCTCAATCTTTATCTTTTTTTTCTTTTTTGCCGAAGATCTCAATCTACATTTTGGATGATAACTTGACACCGATCCCACATAAAAGGTTCTTTTTTAGTTCTTTTTGCTTTTTATAGTTCTTCCAATTTTTGTCGATCTTTCTAGGGTGATTAAAATTGTTACCTTTACTATCATAGAAGTTCTTTACCTAAAATTAACTTATCCTTCGATGTTCTATGGAATGTAATTCTTCAATAGCCATAGTGAGCGACAAAAAAAAGTTGACAAAAAAAAAAAATTTTTTTTAGTAGATGGTCGACAACCCTCTACTCAATGTAATACATAGAAATCATCTAATCACTCCCTAATAAGTTACTTGAAAATTCCCCCTTTCCACCCATCAATATATTTTCTACGCCACCACTTCTTCATAATCAGAAGAAGCGTAATCGTCTCCGGCATCTCCTGTTGGCAGGTACGAGTACGAGTAGCTGGCGTACTCCTCTTCCACCCTCAATACATGAAAGTCCGCACTGAGGAAAAAAATCAAACGAATCAAGTTGGTTACGTAGAAAAAACCCTCTTATTCGCAAGACCGCCCACTGTCAATTGATAAAACGAACAAACGAGCAGAGGGGCGGAGCCAGGAAATTTATGTAGGGAGGGGGAGGTGGGGAGGTCCGGATCCCTGGCCCCGCTCCTTGATCACCACTTGGAGAAAGCGAACAGATTGGCAAGAAAACTCACGCCGCTTTCTCAGCCAATCAAATTTAAAAGCAAAACCAATCGCGCCTCATTGGATCACTCGCGTTTTTCCGCACTAGACGCAGCTTGTCTTTTTTCACTTTTAGTTATCATTGTTTCGTTGTGCTGATTTTCTTTGTTCTGATCGGTCGCTAAGAGAATGTTTTTGTCTCTGGGGAGCTCTCTATTTAATAAGGAAGTACAAGGAAAGCACAAGAGACCTCTCACCATTTAAAGAAATCTTTCAGAAATGCAAAGTACACCATGGGACCAAACACGGCGAAATACATAAACAACGAGAAGTCAAAAACGCTGAGAAAGAAACAAAACAAGACAAATGAACAAAACAAAAAAATAACTTTAGGATTTGATAAAAGTATTTCTCGCTCTTTATTTAACTTCACAATTTTCGTTTCACTTCAGGCATATCCTCTAGCGTAGCCAATCAGATTGCGGTATTGAGATGAGATTCAAACCAATCAGTCCGTCTTTAGTTTATGAGGTCACAATCTAAAAACTATCTTCTTCTTACACGAGTTGACCTGTAGAAGGGATTTTGTGACAGACTTGCCAAAAAAGGAGGACCAAAGTGATATATAAATGCAACGTAGACAAAATTATTAGTTACAGGCAAGTATAACAAAAGAAAGTTATTACAAAGGCTGTTTAACTACAGGGCTAAGTGTTACCCACCATAAACTTTTCACAATAGTTTTGTACATCAGTAGACTTGCGCAACCTTGCATTACGTTCACGATACACATTACAGCACAATACAAGTAGAAAGATCTTCTTTCTATAAAAGAAAATCCCAAACGTTAGCCAAGGGTTGACGTTATCTGAATAAACCTCTATAACTGGTCCAGAAAACTCGCGACATTCTATAAACCAATCAGAAGCAAAATCAAATCACACCACGATTTGGTGGCTCTTGTTTTCCCGCGCTTCAAGTGGTTTGTTTCTTTTTACTATGAGTTCTCAGTGCCTCCCTGAGATTAGCCCGTTCCCAGGCCCTTATCATTATTGCTGTAGAACGTGCACTTCTCTACCCGCGGGAGGATTGAAGACGATTAGGGAGAATTTTGCTGTCTGGCAAATCCGATTACATTACGTTTGATTTGGTGACACAAATTCTTAATAATGCTCTAAATTCCGAAACGCAAATAACAGTTCCTTATCATACTGCCTTGATTAATTAAGAAATAATTTGGTCGCTGAAGGAAGTATAGCAGAGAGAATTAGTCTCAGAGAGCCTGCAGGTCGTAAAATTGATTAGATCCCCGTCGGAACTTGTGGGTGTGGTTTAAAAAGGAAATGCGTAGTCCTCCAAAAGAGAAGCTTCAACTACATTTGCCAGGGTGAAGCTTTAAGACAATCTTACCAGGTATAACACAGCACTGTCTTAACGTGGTGCACGGCAAAATTATGATAATAAAATATACCTGAAAGGAGATAAAATAGCAGATCAATTACAAAATATTTGTTTGGTAAAAAAAGGGGTAAGTCTCTAAAGAAACTGTGGTGTTGTGTTGGCGGGGGCTATTAGAGGATAATTTGGTTTTATCAACTAAGTTGATAAGGTAAACTTGCCGCCCAAAAGAGTTTCAAAAACTAACGTTTCCTGAGAGCGAAAGACGTAGGTTTCGAAGCGTCAGCTTCCAAACTTTATATATCTTATTAGACGTTTTGTTGTGTAGTATCGCTGAGAATTTTTACGAGTTCTTTGTGTTTTTAAGAGCTCGTACGGCGAGTCAAAATGCGGCACAACTCGTAAAAATACTCAGCGACAATAAACAATAAAACGTGTAATAAGAGGTTTATTATCCAACACGCCAAATTGTTATTTCAGTGCGGGCGAATTTCGAGGATATTTCTGGAGTACAAATATCACGTGATATTTGTACCCCTTTTGCGCGTTACTTGTACTCTGCCAAGCACAGTTGGATAATAAATAATTTATCTCATTAGACGTTTTGTTGTGTAGTATCGCTGAGTATTTTTACGAGTTGTGCCGTATTTTGACTCGCCCAACGGGCTCGCCAAAATACAACTAACGAGTAAAAATACTCAGCGATACTACACAACAAAACGTGTAATAAGTTATTTATTATCCAACACGCCAAACTGTTATTTCAGTGCCGGCGAATTTCGCGGATGTTTATTTACGGGGAGTGTGTGACAGAAGTATGCGAAGCGGAACCGAATTGGCGCGTTGTTGTGCTGCTGTTTCTATTTTCTTCATTAAATGAAGAAATTTTCTGATCGTCAAGCTGTTTTTTTCCGTTCAATTCATCTAATGAACTTTGCCAGCCATTCTGACTCTTCGTCGTCGGAAATATGATTCAAATTGTCCGCCACTTTTTTTAATTTTGTAACTATAATCCAGTTTTTCGCTTGCGCGATGCGAGAAAACCTGTTAAACCGGTACTACAATAGACGAGTACAAATACCGCGTGATATTTGTACTCGTCTATGACGTTATTTGTACTCGTCTAGGTGTAGTTGGATAATAATTACTGTTATTTGCCATTTTGTATAATATCAACTCAGAAAATTAAGTTTGTCTCGATCGTTTGCAGATTGGATTGATCGTTGGAAATCGTGAACTTGTTGTCTACATTTCATAATGATATCACACTCCTTTAGCTACTTTTACAAAGTATTCTGTTGGTCTGACTGTGGATAAATAAGATCACCCTTACCAAAGCTAAAAACAGTGACGTACACGCCAAGAACAATAATCCACCGTGTCCATAGAAGTCATACTTTTCATTTCCAAACATTCGGCGATGAATTCCTGGGCTTTTGACAAACTCAAGTGTGGCCTGAGAATCACGATAATAGAAGAATCAATTAATATTGACAATGTTGAAGGTAAGGATGATGACAATAACTTGTTTGTCACAGTGTTATTTATATCTATGATTATTATATGGCCGTGTTATAAAAAGACTGGGAACTACCGAATAGGCCATTTTACAGTTCTGTGCTTGGTTGCCAAGCCTTTGATTTGGAGTGAGGCTGAAGGTGACCTTGTTGTGATAGAGACCAGCAGCTATTTAGCATGATAACAAAGTAATTTACATTTGAAAAGCAGCAACGTCTGTATCATAACAAGGTCACCCTTAGCCTCACTCCCATTCAAAGGCTTGGTAACCAAGCATGCAACTGTAAAATGGACTATTCACGAATTTGATTCAGGCTGAAATCAATATTAAAAGCGGTCTAGATTTTCCCATCTAGACCGGCATCTAGACCGGTCTAGAAAACAAAAGGTACAAAGAATATAAAAAATTGGCATATAAGACACAGCCATATAATAAACATCTTATTAACTGAGCTAGGTCAGTCTTTATGGGAGAATCTTGACCTCGGTCGCTGGTACAGACCTCAGTGCGTTCGGTCTGTACTGGCGACCTCGGTCAAGATTCTCCCATACAGACCTCCCGCTCGGTTAATAAGAACTAATTAACAATCATTTATGAGGGCCACAACCAAAGAATGGTGACCATCATGGCATAAGGCCTATTTAAACAAATCGACAACGGCTAGTCAAACAAAGTCTGTACTCTTACTGACAACGTTTTTCATTACGCCAGTGGTTAAAATGTAGTGTCCAATCATAGCATGCATACCAACTGAGAGAGATAATAATAGCATTTTATGTTTAGGATTATCATCATCATACATATTAAAAGAATTTTAAAAACTATTTCAATATGTATGAATTCTATTCTTATCCATGTCTAGCGCCTAGATCTTAGACACCCATTTTTTGTGAATATTTAAATCTCTGTTAATGTAAACTTAAGACTTACTTTTAAAAATAATTCAAAATGCATATTTCTTTTTTGTACAGTGCTTAGATCAGGTCTGGATAAGCGCTATATAAGTAGTTCTATTATTATTATTATTGTTATTATTATTAACATTGTTAATATTAAATAATTTTTTATATTGTCATTTATGTCTATGATTAACTTCATAAATAAGAATGAATAAGGGCTGATAGTTTCTAAAGAAACTGTTTGGGGCTGCGTCGGTGGGGGTAACGAAATAATTTGGATACAACAACAAAGTTGAAATGGTAAATTGGCAACCGTAACAATTACAAAAGCTGATGTTTCGAGCGTTAGCCCTCCGTCGTTATAAATAAGAACCACAACCAAGAAATGGTGACCATCCTGGCATATGGCATATTTAAATAAAACTGGCAGTGGTCAAAATTAATTGCCTAGGCCTCACTTGAAGCACTAAAGTTTGGTTTCAAGAATGTCATAACTAATATAAGTTGCAAAAGATATAAGTGTTAACGATCATTATAGTTCATTTCTTCTTTTTGTTGTCTTGATAAAATATAATTGTATGAAGATTTAACTTGTCTTTTTTGCTGTGAAAACTGTTTTTCTGATAAATTTGGTTAAAAACAGGGTTGCGCATTACACATGGGGGTGTATTATACATGGGTAAATTAATATGGTAAACATAGTCTGTATTCTCGTCGACAATCATATTTGCCATCACAGCAGTCAAAATGTTGTGTCCAATCATAGCCTGCGTACTAACTGAGAGATAATTATAATAACATTATTTTAAGATTATGACTATTATCATTATCATTATTAATTTATCGTTTCTCTAACTATTAATATAATTTCTATCTAATCAATAGTTACAATCTTCTCCACAAGGTGAAGAAGAAGATGGAGGAAAAAAATGTTAGTAATTCTTGTTACTGTCTGCTGTACAATTCTTATGACATTGGTTTGGAGAATTTGATATTGGATCAACTAATAATCCCTTAACACTGTACCTTCCATGAGTGACCAAGACAGAATTTCTCCCTGAAATATCAATACAATATCAAGCAGAAAAGTGATGAGAATAAAGAAAAATATCAATTGAGGGATTATGAGTTGATCCAATACTTAATTCTCAAAACTAACAACATAAAAATTGCATAGGAGACAATAAAGAGAATTACTGATGAGATCTTTGGAGGGAAAGAGTAACTAACATTTTTTTTTTTCTGTTTTCATCATTCTCATGCATATTATTGACTGCTTAATATTGTCTTAACATTGTTAGGAGTAATTTTGTGATGGTCACTCATGGAAGTGAAAGATTATAAGGAAACATTATGACAAAGATCACAAAAAGCAATCTAGTCAGTAATTAAATTTATGTATTTAGTAATTAAATTAAATTTAGTAATTGATCATTATCTAATATTTAGTAATTAGGCTTTTTATTGCAAAATAGCTACGTCATGTTATTTTAGGATTTACTCTGTAAATCTATAAGTTTTAATAAGGTTTGTTTTCTTGGCTCATTAGCATACTTTCCTTGCTAGGGGTCTAACCAATCCTATCAACCTGAGATTAAATAAAGTTTCATTCATTCATTCATTCATTCATTCACTCATTCACTCATTCATTCATTCATTCATTCAATCAATCAATCAATCATTCATTCATTCATTCATTCATTCATTCATTCATTCATTCATTCATTCATCCATCCATCCAAGCAACAAACCTGAGTGGATGAATATGCAACAGCACAAAATAACGACAGACAGAGAACTCTCCGTACACCTCTCCGGCCATCTTGCATGTTCCCTGTAGGAAAAACATAGTACTGTAAGTAAATTCTGTTTACGAGCCAGTGGCCCATCAGGCCAGCGCTTAACTCCGGTTTCTGTAGCATGAAGCGACTAGGAGTATTTCTACTCCCCCCTGGATGGGATGCTAGTTCATCGCAGGGTTACAGCCCCCCAGCAACAAATTTTCTGGTACCCATTTATACACCTGGGTGGAGAGAGGCACTGTGAGAGTAAAGTGTCTTGCCTAAGAACACAACACAATGTCCCGGCCGGGGCTCAAACCCGGACCACTCGATCCGGAGTCGAGCGCACCAGCCATAAGGCCACCGCTTAAATATGAATCAGTAATTATTTCGTTTTAATGGAGATGAGTCACATATTTTAGGCATCGTTTACGATCAAGGCACAGACAGGATACGAAGTAGCTTTTGGGTAAGTTGTTTACGACGCTTAGGTTTAAATTTCGTTCTCATCTCCTAAGCAGTGTAAATTACTTTTTAAATCGCTCCGAAGAAGGGCTGACGCTCGAAACGTCAGCTTTTGTAATCGTTACGGTGGCCAAGAGGCCACGGTGCCTCCACTGCAGGAAAAACATAGCTCTTGAAAATTCTCTTTTATAGTAAATTAGGTCAAACAATTTTTATATCTATAAATAGCTCACTGCAGTCCATACCTGCCCAGACTCCAAATATTATGACACTTAGCTCCACTGCTAATAAGAAGCATCTCAGTACAATCCACAAAATCTAAGAAAAATACTTACCTCAAAATGCACTTTTAAATTTATAATATTATACTAAGCACTCAAAAAGTGGGAGTGGATTTAGTGAAAAGTAGGATATGAAAGGAGTAAAGTAGTTAGTGGAAAGTGAAAAAAGGAAGTGAGAAAGTTGGAAGTGAAAAGTGAGATGTGAAATGTAAGAAGAGGAAAGTGGGAAGTGGATATTGAAAGTGAAATCTGGAAAGTGAAAATTGGAAAGAGAAAATTGGGAAGTCTTAGCACGACCGCAGGCCCTCTTGATGTTGTGTTTTATGTCGTGAACACTACCAGATTCAATGTTTGTGATGGTCAATCTTGCAAGTTTTAATTATTGCCCTCTTGTTGAAGAATTGATAAGCTGAACCTGCCTACAAGCAAGATATTTTCTTCTCCTTCCATGGGTTTACATTACGGTGCCTTTTCTTGCACCTTCTACACCATTGTTCAAGTCCCTTAATAGGAAAAAGGAATAGAAACTGCTGAAATAACTGCCCAAAAAAAATTTAGATTCACTAATGACCTTTGTTGGCAGAGAATCCTTGTGGTGTAATTTCAAAATTGACGTCAGAAGCATCGAGACAAAACATCTTGCTGTTCCAATAATACAAACAAAGAATACCTATGCAAAAGACAAAATCAAATTATAAGTTCTTGGTTAATTGTAACCTCTGGTATTTCAAAGTGGAAACTTACAAACTGAAACTTTCTTCGGGCATGCCTTTGCAAAGCATGCATGCATGTCTAAATTTGGTGGCTGATTACTTTCATAAACTTAAATCATACCATAAAATAAACAGTCTTCACAATAGGACATCTTATTTTGCTTAACTGCACTTGAGCTGCTCCAAGTCTGTACATAAGGAACATCAGAAAGACAATATTTGGAACCAGGAGGAAGACATCAAGAAACCTGATGTGACTGTGGAGTGTGGGGAAAAAGAAAGGAAGAACAAAAAGTAAAATGTTCAATTCTGTGCATCAAAATACAATTTACAACACCTCCTAAACAAGGTCCTTTTAAGAGAACTGGGTCCATTTGTTAGAAAAACGATTAGCCCTCACCCAGGGTTACATCTTAATCCAGATTTCTTTATTCCCTTGTTCAAAAGCCTTTTTCAGATAATTTTCTTTTTAAAGAATACAATCATAAAACTGTAGACGAGAATAATTCTACTGAATTTTCTTTTTACCTATCAAGATTCCCTAAGTGTGATCATGCAAGGGGGTAGCATGTTGGGTAAGGCTGCTCAATCGAAAGCATGGTGTATTAAAGTGTTTGTTTGTGACTTTTGCGGCTCTTGCAACTACTATTTATGTTCCCTGCAATGTAACTTTCCAACAACGATCTACTTTAAAGGAGGCAAATAATAGCAACCCATGCCTAAACCAGACAGCCAGACAGTCTTCTGTTCCTCTTTGCTAATTGCTACCCTACTGCCCTTAATGGAATAATGTTTCTTAGATCTTTAACGTATATCAATGGAAGAGAAAGAGGAATTACTTTCGCTTCTCACACCGAATTGACGCAACCGTTTTAAAAGATCGTATATCGCTGTTGATATCACTCTAGGTAACTTTGAGATTGAATTGATATTAGCATACCTGTCGTTGATGGCCTCATAGAGAATCTTTTGGCAAATATCACATTTGATATTGTCCTGCGGAACTTCAGTGGCTGATGTATTGGGAGGAAGAAAGGTGGAAGCGGCTTCATTCGTCATTCTCGATTCACGCAAATCTCCCCTTGGCTTTGTTTAATGTATAGCCGCGTCATCAATACAATCGTCACGAAAAAAAGTACCAGAAAATCAAAAGGCTTATATCTTTAGAAGACATTTTCTTCTGATCTTTCCGTCTTCATCATCGCATACACGTTCTCGGAACATCATTTATCGGGAAGTTAGGTAATAAGATAATTTTACAAGCATCTTCGTGCAGCCAGATTAGTCATAGTTTAATCGCGTGATTCGGCTCCAATCCATCACGGCATCAATAAAAGTACTGGGAGGGGGGTGGTGAAATGTTTCTTGCCTCTCTTAGCTCTTATCCTCTCGTCAAATGAGAATTTTTCGTCATTGTAACCTATGAAAAACTGACCTCTTTATGCATTTTGCTGCATGAATAATTTAAATTGTTGGAGTGAGTGGGGAGAAGGGAGGGTGATAAAAATGGTGAAAAAAAATTACGAAGACAAATAATTTTTTTTAAATTAACCTCTCGCTCCCAGGATCCTCTTTGTTCCTCGCTAAAATGAAAGAAATGGAGAAGACACCAGGCACGAAATTAGAGTCAAAATGGCTGCCATTCACTACATCTTCCCTGAGTTTGTCCTTATAGAGGTCTTCTGTAAATTGTCAATTCACGATTTATACAACGCTGCTTTAATTAGTTTGCAAGGATTGGAATAGCTTGGTTCGTGTAGACGTTATTTGGGAGAGACATATTCCAAAATATTCTTGGTTCGAACTTCCACCGAAAGCAGCGAAAGCACGAAGTGTTTACAAGGCTGTTGCACGAATGTGGAAATCCAGCGTGAAGCTCGGTGGCTCCCCAACCCTATGCCTGAACTTCAAAGGTACGAGAAATGGCTGAGGAAGGCTTAGTTTCACAACTACTTCGCGTGTCATTCGACTTCAATCTTACTCCTCCAACTGAATCCATGTTATGAATTCACCACTAAAGGTAAGGACATGGAGAACTTGCAAATGAACGAGGTTTGTCAAGAGATATGGAAACATTTTGGGGGCAAGGGAGGACCTCAACTCAGCATGAATTCCCACGAGGATTTAATGAAACGAGCACAGTATAGAACCAAAAAGATAATTCTGAAAAATATTCTAGATATTTTACAACCAAGGTGGTTCCTAAGGGGCCTTTACTTGGAGAAATATGAAGTGGATGAGGACGCGAACATAATTTCTGGCCCAACACTTGAAAGAGAAGCTGCTGACCATATCGTAGATGATATTGCAGACATTAAAGAACAGACTACTAAGGACAGGAGTGTGATTGGCTCATTTGGCGAGAAAACTGCATGGAAATAGAAAGTTAACAAGCCTTTACCTCTTTCTCTTTATAACAAGTTAAAGGCTTTTTTTGCAGATGAAAGCGGTCATTTCATCGAGTACTTTCTAAATGGTGGCTGCTTTAACGAGAACTATCAATACGCTTATCATCTTTTGATTAGCGATTCTGCCGTGTTCTTTATTAAACAAATCTATGACTTGTGAAAGTGTTGAATAATTACAATATATCCGATCTTACGATGACTGAATTTAAAACAAAACCATAAAATTGTTAGTAGAGGGAGGTGAAGATAAAGGAAAGTTTCAGTTTGAAAAAACAACAACAAACAAACAAACAAATAACAATTGCACTGACAACCGACGCAGACAAAAACTAATCTAATCTGGTTTTATCAACTGACAAAAACTAATCTGGTTTTATCAACTGAGTTGATCACAAATTGGACACCATTGAAAATATTTAAAGCTGACGTTTAGAGCGTTAGCTTTTCAACAAATCGGCAGTGGTTTAGCGTGGTCTATACAGAGGTCTGCTTAACCTCTTCCGATTTGTTTTTGACCACAATATCGACGTCAAGTAAAACGATTCTTTCAGTGCGTGACACGTTGCGTGACACGTTGACCCAAGTAGCCGCGTTGTCTGTACTCTTACCGACAACGGCGAATTAGCCAATCAGATTGCAACATTACTGCCAATTGCGGTAAAATCGCCATTCGCTCTGACGAAAGGCTAACGCTGGAAATGTCAGCTTTAGTTACTCTTTGTGGTGGCTAAACAACAATTATACCACGAGCGCGCGTTGGATATGAGATGATAGATAGCCAACGAGGCACGTAGCGCTGAGTTGGCTATATTCATCTCATATTCAAAAAGTGCGAGTAGAATAATTGTTTTATTAAAAACGTTAAATTACATTATTAAATTTTATTAAATTTTATCATATTTTTAGCTCCCTTTTAATTTTAAGCTGACACGTACGCTTGCCATATTTGTAGATTATATGGTATATTGGCTCATATACCATAATGGCTAAGCCAATAAAAAGTCTTGAATTGCATTATCCAATGATCTAGTTTTTGATAATTTACATTTTTATATATTATATTATTATATATTATTAAAAACTGGATCATTGGATAATGCAATTGAAGACTTTTTATTGGCTTAGCCATTATGGTATATGAGCCAATATACCATAATCTACAAATATGGTACGCGTACGCATCAGATTAGAATTAAAAGGAGCTAAAAAGTTTAATAAAATTTAACAATGTAATTTAATGTTTTTAATAAAACAATTTTTCCACTCGCGCTTGTTGCTTGTTGGATATGAGATGATTATAGCCAACTCAGCGCTACGCACCTCGTTGGCTATCTATCATCTCATATCCAACGCGCGCTTGTGGAATAATTGTTAATTATCAACTCAGTCGATGAAACCATATCATCTCGTAATATCCCCCTCAGACACAGCACCACAATTTATTTAGAACCTTATCCTCTTACATGCATTGAATGTTTATCACAAAAACGACAAAGAAATGACAAAATTCGTTCATATCAATGTAAGCAAAAGGTACCAAGCGGTCTAAATTCGATCTCAGTTCTTTTTCTTTCACCGTTTTTTTCACCACTACAACAATTTCTGCCAACTCTCACTTACAGTGACACGAACTCAACCGGGGCCACCCAACGTTTTTTAGCCAATCACAAGACGAGTTTAGAACAAAAAAATTGAAGTTCGTTCATTAGCGGATCAATCACTATAAGGGTCAAATTTCACTGTTCGTTTGACTAGATCAGATGTGAAGGTATGCGAAAGCTTATAGTTTTTTTAAAGCAAAAAAATATAATATTTTTCATTTCTATTACGGTAAAGATGAATAAATATTTACCTAATGGCGGCCGGTAATTTCGAAGACTAAACTGACTAAAGTTAAATTTACCAAATTGCGGCCGACTCACTTTATACAATATATTTTCCGAAACACGGCCTGGAATGCCGAAGGCGAGAGCTTATGTAATTTACTGAATATTGCGGCCGCGAATTTTGAACACGAAACGGGCTCGATCAATGTAAATAAATATATCAAATTACGGCCGGCTAAACCTCAAGGCGAAACCGGCTCAACACAAGTATATTTTTAAAATATCATTGAAAAACGGCCGTATCTACAATTTTACCGGGAATTTTAGTAACCAATCACAAGGACAAAGAAAATTTCAAATTTAGTTTTTGCATGTATTACCGGTGGTTGATTCCGTTTGCGTTGTAGTTTGAAAGTCGGGAAGTATTTCAAACATTTACTGATTTGAGGTAAAACCGTTTCGTCTTCAAAATCTCAGGCCGTGTCAATTCCGCAAATACATTTGTATTGAGTCCGTTTGGTCTTCAATATTCCCAGCCGCATTATTCCGTAAATAATATAAGCTTTCATCCTCGACATTCCAGAACGTGTTTCGAAATATATATTTTATAAGTTAACCCGTTCGTAATTTAGTAAATTTCTTTAAGTATGAGTCGCATTTTTTTTCTAGAAGCTTTCGCATGTCTTCACATCGACTCCAGTCAAACGAGCAGTTTAATTTGACCGCTGGTGAACGAACTCCCATTCTTTTGTTCCGTACTTGTCTTGTAATCGGCTAAAAAACGTTGGGTGGCCCCGGTTGAGTTCGTTTCACTGTAAAGCAAATACACTCTCTTTTCTTCTCTTCAAACCACTCTAACCACTAAGCTCTATGATACACGCTTCTACATACACCGTCGTTTGGCGTAATTGGACGTACAGGCCAATATATGAACTTCATATATATATTGTATCTAACCTCGAAAGATTAAACAATTATGATCATGGCACAAACCCAAATCAGTTCCACGAATGCATCACAGAGGAGCGAAAACGTGCTTCTGATCAAGCAATCAAACTTTGCGAAAGCCAATGCATGAACTTCCGAAGAAGTCATGAAATTTGAATTCGCGATCGTCACCAGTGTACTGACTTCGGAAGATTAAACATCTCTGACCAGAATATTAACCGAATTATTTTAATAAGAGCCTCACAAATGGACAAAAACGTGAGTAATATTTCCGATCATCAAATCAGTCGTGGATTACGAAAGCCTCAGAGTAGGAACTTTGAGGGAGGTTTCCGACCTCAAAGTTTTCCGACCTCCCTCAAAGTAGGAACTTTGAGGGAGGTCGGGAAATCTGCACTCTACAACCAGAGAACGTCATTGCTTTAGAATCACGTCTTAACAACGGCTAAGGAAAAACCGCTATAATCACCAGAGAATCATAAGACTCGCATGAGCACAACAAAAAATCTGATAAACCTGTGTGATCCCAAGAAACTCATAACAAAGTACAGAAATCGACTTCTCCGGGAAACGACATTTAAGTTCAAAGAATCTGAAACTAAACGAGACAGTAAAATTTAGGAAACTCCGATTAAAAGCTTCTGAACTCTTTTGCTACCAGAAGTGATTAACATGTAACTTTAACATATAATATCCATACATTATCCACCAAACAGTTCTTCCGATATTGAAGACGATCTTCCTGTATTAAGCAGTCGGTTGTAAAGGTCCCGAGTTTGTTTGTTTTGTTTTTTTCTTCAACACTTTATTTGTCAACCTCTATAAAGCGGTCACTTCTATTTAGCAGTCTTGGTAAATTCTTACTTAGACCTCACGACCTCGGTTTATAACTGATGTCTTTTCCTGTGTTGAACGGGCGATTAAAGCAAGGCCATTCAGAAAAAAACTTAGAATAATCTCTTAAATAAAATTTATTCCATGCCTTATCACCTGAAATCGTTATTAATACTTTGACTTCAAATTTCTTCAACGCGGCATTGCACATTATCTTTCTTAATAGGATGTTAGGGCAAATATCACAAAAAAAATCATGAACTTCATATATTGCATTGTATCTCAATATTATATATGTCGCAATCTTCTATGTTCAAGGCATTTTTCCTCGTCACGTATAAAGGCAAAATATTTTCCGCTTTAGTTTTAATTCCTCGCGTATAACCGTGACGTCAGCAACCTCAGTCACGTATTATATCCAATGAGTTATAAATAGCACAACTTTATCTTGCCATTACATTTTCCTCTAGAGGCAGTGTTGAGATCGCATCCAGGTTTCACATATAGAGGTCTGATACAACTCTCGAGCACGAATCATGGCTGCTTCGTCTCTCTTCATCTACGCCGCTGCCCTGGTTCTTTTTATCGTACCCGCTGGTAAGTTAGAATATTATTAAATTTTGACCTGCACAAGCTTGAGTTAATGTGCTGCTGCGTTAGCTCAACGCAGGAAACTGCTGCCCTCTTTTCTAAAATTGTTCTTCGAAAAACTTAAGTCGGACTGCCGCAGACAATTCTCACTTGTTTTCGAGGTGAATTCTTTCAAATTTTTGCTTACTTGATCAAGTCAAAACAAGCAAGGCAATGATTCATGCAGGTGAACCAGGTACTAGTTGGGCGCTACTATCAAATCAAACAGTTGTAATTTAAAAAGAGACTTTAGTCTTAACGTTACCGTTGAAGTTACTTACAAAGATTCATTATGAAAAGTTTACGATCCACTCGAGCTAAACTACAGTATTTCAAGGCGACGTCATCAAGGCACTCTCGTTTTGTGTAAAGCGCTTTACGGCACTATTTGCTCTGAGATAGCAAAGCAAAGCTCTTAAAACAAAACACCGTATTTTCTTTAACTCAAGCATAGAAAACCTTCGAATATTCACACCGCGAAGAAATCTGTGCTCCGTGTGTGTTTGGAGCCGGTGATTTTGAGTGACTTGTTAACTCACCGCGCCGGGTTTTTTTTTTTTTTTTTTTTTTTTTTTTTTTTTTTTTTTTTTTTTGCCTGCAAGCGTTTTACTTGTTCTATTTGACATCGAAGACATTTGTAGAAATAGTAACGTTCCTTAAAATTTTACTTCTAGAAGCGCAAGAACTAGTTTTTATCCTCAGGCAAGGGTAAGCTTCATTAAGAAGGTGAATGGCCGCTTGAAGTTTTCATTTCATCCACTTATCCTTTTCTTTTATTTTTCTTTTTTCACTTCACATTCCTTGGCTTTGATGCGGGAGATAATTAGGAACGAAACGCTATCCCGAAAAAGTCCTCCGCAAATTATTCGAAAAGCACTCCATGTCTTGAAGAAATATTTTTGCAGTTCATAGTAAGATGCCACCCTAAAATTTTAGACAGTTAGGTTGCCAAACCAAGTCAGTAACAGAACACCTTTTTATGCCACTCAACCGGTGTTGCGAGCGAATACGCTTGCAAAGATGAACTTACGTGCATACCTCCAGAAATTTCATGCATATTTTGATGATAATTGTTGAAATTCTCGCACGCTCATTGGTCAAGAGGTATGATCAATACCGGGCACAGACAATGAAAACTTTGTTATATCAAGTCCTATAATCTTCGGGATAAGAATTTCGAGCAGCTGAAGTCGAGCAATAAGTAAAAGCAAAGTTCGTCCGTTTTTGTTCGACAAAAGTGAACATTTGTGTTCGCATTTTGTTAAGCTGCTTTGTCGAAAAGAAAGTTTTCTTGGGTTACGAGAGCCTTTTTTGATGTGAACGGGAGAGAACTTTCGAGATCAGGCAGGCCAACCACAAATCCTGGTACAAATCATCTTGCTCGTCACTGTTTAATTTTCAAAACCGTCCCGATTATTTACATTTTTATTAGGTGTCTTTAGCTCATGCCGTTGTCGGGAATCTAACCACTCTAACCACTAAGCTCTATGATACACGCTTCTACATACACCGTCGTTTGGCGTAATTGGACGTACAGGCCAATATATGAACTTCATATATATATTGTATCTAACCTCGAAAGATTAAACAATTATGATCATGGCACAAACCCAAATCAGTTCCACGAATGCATCACAGAGGAGCGAAAACGTGCTTCTGATCAAGCAATCAAACTTTGCGAAAGCCAATGCATGAACTTCCGAAGAAGTCATGAAATTTGAATTCGCGATCGTCACCAGTGTACTGACTTCGGAAGATTAAACATCTCTGACCAGAATATTAACCGAATTATTTTAATAAGAGCCTCACAAATGGACAAAAACGTGAGTAATATTTCCGATCATCAAATCAGTCGTGGATTACGAAAGCCTCAGAGTAGGAACTTTGAGGGAGGTTTCCGACCTCAAAGTTTTCCGACCTCCCTCAAAGTAGGAACTTTGAGGGAGGTCGGGAAATCTGCACTCTACAACCAGAGAACGTCATTGCTTTAGAATCACGTCTTAACAACGGCTAAGGAAAAACCGCTATAATCACCAGAGAATCATAAGACTCGCATGAGCAC